ACACACACACACACACACACACACACACAAATACACTGGTGCTAACATAGGGAAAGCTGTAATTCAGCTTCAAAGGGAAACCTGAGAGGGTCATGAATAATCACAGACATCTTTGTCTGCAAGAGAAAACAGCACTGTCCATCTGCCCTCTACACACATACACACTGTAGTTCATATGACAGGCTGTTTTTAGCAATGCCAGTGCACAGGTTATGAGTGTGACCATTTCAACTTTAAACCCCCAACAAAAACAAAATATCACTAATTTCTTCATTTGAAAAAACATGTAGAAATAAATTGATTATATATAAAATTGGACAAAACAACCCCTTTAGTGTAGAGTTTTCTTGACATATGAGGTAATTTCACAATGGAGCTGAGATGCATCATGATTAGACAGATAAATGTTAGCAGTGGTAGTTGCTTAAAAACAAGCATACTGCAAAGTATCTACATCAAAAACATCATATTAATAAAATGTTTAAAGCTGACTATTTGTCTTTCACTGATTTCATTAAAACCAACTGATAGAAGAGTCTAACTTTTTATGTTAACAGGACAGCTGCCATCCAATGCAGCTGATATATATACAACGCAACAAAATGTATTTATCAGTTTAACTCAAACCTGCTAAACAGTATTGCAAGACTGCTGCAGCTCCTTGTGTTCACTTCCTCTGCGGACCAAAGGGAAGTGATGAAAATGCAGTCAGCTCCCCTCCGGCACACACTGGCAACAAAATTGATGCTCGTAAACAATTTTCAAAAAAATATTTTTGCACAGGCCAGAACACCTATCTCTGGAGAGAGCTTTGCTCAGCTGGCCTACACTCAGAGTTTAGATAAGGTTTCTTATTCAACACAGATGTGCATGCAAGCAGCAAAAGAAGCTGTAGAAGCTGATGATGCACAGATAAGGAACTTTATAAACCCAAACTCAACAATGCCCACATTCTTTTCTTTTATACATCTGCTGCAGATTTAGATGAGACCACAGCTACGACCAGTTTTATGAAATAAGTGCACACACACAGGACACTGTTGAAGCCTTCAGTGTGTGATGTTTGTCTGTGAGCGTAAATGTTCGTCCATGGTGACATTCCTCCCCTGTCAAAGCCTGAAAGGAATTCCCTGGTAGGAGTGGCAGGCATGAGGTCTGTGTTTAGCACACGCTTGTATACACGTAAACTCACAGACAGATATACATTTCAGAATATAAAAAATGATAAGCTGTACAGCCGTACAAGCTCTAGACCCCACCCAGACATCAGGATAACCTCAGCAACATACCTCATTGGAGCTCATCAGAATCTACAAGTCCTTTGAGGGTTGTGTAACATGATCGGAGAGAAAGACAGATAGAAAAAGAGAGAGAGAGAGAGAGGGATAGAAAAAAAGGGGGAGAGAGTGAAAGAAGGTAACCTGATGACCCAGGAGCTTTCTGAACACTGAACTGGTTCCCATTGAAGTTGGGAGAACCCCCGCTATTTTTTCTTTCTGATCCTCACCTCTATTCTCTCTTGCTCTCTACACCCTGTCCTCTTCCATTCCCTCTCTCCATCTGCATGTACCTGAAAAAACCTGCTGTGTGTGACTGGAGACGTTGACAGGACAGAGTAACACAAACTCTACATTCACCACTCAACAAAACCTTTCGTGGTAACCTCCTGTCTGTTGTGGTCAGCTAGAATTTTCTCCCCCCCATTGGAGGACTGAAACTGAACTGAAATTCAGAGGTTCCACTTTCATGCAATGACAGGTATGAAGAAAACTTTAGATTTCCTTTAAATGAACTCACCTTCTCTCTTCCCTTAACCACACACACTCCATACATTGATATCATTTTCTAATTAAGAGTTTTTTTTAGACTCACCAGCCTATTAAAGCTCCTTCTCTCCCCTCCCTACAGTGAGTGAAAACCTCCAGACAAACTCAGCTATATTCCACCTCAGCCAGGTTCGCAGACTTATCCCAAACTCCAAATCCCGCTCCTGCTTTTAAAGCTGTGAATCTGTGGTCTCGGGCCATCCACCTCTGTCTGTCTCCCTCCCACGCTCTTTGGGAAACGGATTGTTCTAAAACTTTAGTAAGAGGAGTTCCAAAGCTGCTCCCTCCCTCCTATATATGGCACACGTCAGGTCCTAGTGCCGACCCCTTCCACGTGCTTCCATTTACAAAGAGAAGCACAGTTGGAGATAATTTACACCTAGCTGCTGTTATTCATTCTCTCCTTCCATTCACCTTTTCATTCATGGTCGACAATGGCCCACTGGAAAACCACTGGAAAAGAAAGAAGAAAAAAAAGAAGTATTTTCATGACATATCCGTAAGTACAGTGAAAGCTTACTGAGTCATTGTTCCGCTCCTGAGTCACTGCTAGGTTGGTGAACATACTCTTGGATGTGGATGCAGTAGTGCAACGTGTCTCAGTCATGTGTGTGGTCGAACCACCGCCGTCCTTGGCATACAGAACGGTTGTGTGGGGGGGCCCTGGCCCTAACTAAGCAACTCGTGCAAGGAGTGCAGTGCCGTTTCCAATAAGATGATATTGTGTAGATGCACATTCGTTTGCAGTTCCAACATCGAGGAAATGTTGACACTCCAGCAAGATTCATGGATTTAAACATAATAGAAGTTTGATGGTCTGTTGCAACCAGGAATCCATTCCTGTGACTCGTCAATGATAAATGAAGATAAAAAATGGAGCAACAAGAAGCAGCTATGATATACCCTCACCCCGGAAGCGATCAACCGCACCCTGCTTTCAGGGCCTCCAGGCTCCAATGTCACAACAGTACCTTTCTGACATTTCTCTCCCTCTCTTGTTTGTGCATCTTCACTTTCCCATCTCTCCGTCTTGTCTTCTCACCCTCTCTCGGCTTCTATTCGTTTCTCCCTTTCATGGCTTCTCCCTGACCTGAGCCGTATAGTTGTCAGTGCCCCTGGCGCTGAGCGGGACAGACACCCCACGCCTCTGCTCTGACAGACTGAGAGAGGAAAGAAAAAAGAGCAGAGGAAAATGAGAGAAAAGAGAGGATTGTGTGTCACTGTCATGGAATTCCTTCTCTTTTAGTTGAAGCGCATGATTCTGTTTGGATGTTAATGAGAAAACTTTATTGGGTGCAAATGGGGCATGGAAAGAATAACATAGGTGAAAATTTGAGAGGGGTCTCTCTTGTCTCAAGAATTTTGACCCCAACTAACGGGTTCAAACCCAACTGGGCATTTCCCTAAAGCTGGCGTGGTGCTTGTGTCACTGTCAAAACTGCCTTGGCCCTTGTTATCGAGATGGAGTTTGAAAGGGGAAACCCCAGACGGTGAACTTTGACTCTGCACCCCACGGGGTTGGTTAAGGGTGAGAAAGGCTGAGGAGGGGTGAGCACTCACTTTGGAGGGGGGGTTGAGAGTGCATCGATACCCTCATATTTAAGGCGTTTTGAAAATTTGGTAAATATGAAAAGAGGCTATTTGTGATTGCGACAGGGTTTTGGTGCAATGTGCTGTTAATCATTGTTACAGTGCACATGCGTGTGTGTCTCTGTGTGTTAAAATAACCGGGAAGAGCAACCAGCCATAATGTGTGGTCCTCAATTTACAGCTCTATAAATTCCAGTAAATGCCTGCAACATGAACTCTGACAGAGCATAATCATTGCAATGCATTCTGCATAATACAGAATCATTCTTATTATTTTCATGGTGCCAAACAGCATGTAAGTTAATTTCTTGAAGACATGTAGCCGCAGGGCACCAGTGCATGAAATCCACATCCAAATACCCCTGCTGTTTTATTCTAGGTACTTAACATATTATCATGTTAATCCCTGCTATGCTCAATGTGTATCTCAATGACATCTGAGGGAAGCGGTTGGACAGGTTTCTCCCACAGGGACACACACAGGCCTGCCGGAACAGACACACTCTCAACTCGTGTTGAAGCACATGTCCCCATTCATCTCGATCATTCCAAGAATGATGTCATACTTCTGTGAACTTGAGTGTCATGTGCTTATTTTGATGCTCTGTTATCCAGGTGAGTCAAAGAAAACTTGGTCAGTTCAACATACTTCCCATTAAGAAAAAAAATCCTTGGTCTGCACCTGACAAACAAACAAAACTCATTAAAAACATTCTCCATAACATTACTGTCAACACCACAAGTCACCATGACAGTTTGTAAACAAGTGTTAAATCAGGTTCTTTCTTGGCCCATGTTACATCCTACAAACCTACAAGTTCTGTGGAAATCCGTTCAGGAGTTTTTCTGTATTTCTGCAGAAAAACAAACCAACAGTGGTGAAAACACCAAATCATCAAAATACCATGATGTAGTTTTGTATTTTTACCTTCATTTTAAAGGTCCAGTGTGTAAGATTTAGGTGAAAGGGATCTATTGGTAGAAATTTAATGTAGAATAATCCTCATGATGTTTTCACTAGTTGGTTTCATCTAAATTGTATGAATTGTAGTTTTCTTTACCCCAGAAAAGGCCCTTTATATTGAAATACTCTATATTTACATCAGGGGGACTCTATCTACGCAGGCCGCCATGTTTTTTACATTAGTCCAGAGTAGACTGGACAAACAAAACACCTTTTGAGTTTTTATGAGAATTTAAGGCTACCACAGTTTCCTTTTCATTTTTGGAAGGAGAGGGTGAGGTGAGGGGTGTTCAGCTGCGACGTGCAATTCCAACACTAGATATCACAAAATTCTACACACTGTAACTTTAAAAGGTTTTGAGATGTCTTTCATTGCGAATTAAGGTTAGGGTAGTTGCCTCTGAAACTTTACATTTAAAAAAATGTGACAGCAATTAAGTAAAGTTGATGTTTTGGGGCAAAAACACACATTTTTGGATCACATCCATCCAGAACAGTCATCACGGAACCTTGCCCGACGGCTTTTAAATTTCTTTGAATATTCACTACTAGCTCTTATGTAATGATAATCATCACTTTCATTTCTTTGGTCTTTGAAATTACGAAATGATTTGAAGGCAAAAATATTATTTCCTTTCCAGCAATCTCATAGAGATTGATCAAGTGTCTTCTAAATTATTACAGAAATTACAGAAATCTTACCTGAGTCAACGTTCATCTACACATTATGAGTCTGATGTGACTTCGTATCCCTGCTTTTTTAACCTCAATGGACATTATGAGATCATGCATTAAGCCGTCTGTATTATGAGCCTTTTCTCTTGAGCAGTGTTCAAACTCTCCTCCGTAGCTGATGACACATCTCCTGTTTTACATTTCCCGTAGTATTCATTCACTCTTTCTTTTCCTAGTGAAACCTACGCCAAAAACATCAGTCATTGACTCAGGCGTTCTGGCTCAGTTATCTATGTCATGGGGATGATGGTTGAATGGCTGATTTCCCCTGCACCTGTTGTTGACTGTGTGTACCTATGCTTGTATGAATGTGTGTGTGTGTGTGTGTGTGTGTGTGTGTGTGTGTGTGATGTGACTGAATGGCTGTTCCCTCAGCACATTGTTGAATTGGAGAGCTCATCCTCCTACACTCTCATCATGGCCTCGTGTTGACGCATCCCAGAAGCCTCTTCACTCATTGACTCCTCTGTCCCCTTCCTCCCACGGCCGTGCGAGGCAGAATCCTGCTATTGTCCCGCCAAGGACAGACAGTGGTGTACACATGCTAGCAAACAGACAGGCTCTCACACTCATGCACATCATGCACCATCGCAACATGTATGGGTTCAGAGCAACAGCAGGGCTTACCTGGATCTGTAGAAAAAACATACAGTGCAACATTTGCAGCATGATATGATCATGATGTTTTATTTCCCACAATTTGCTCTTAAACTATAATCTTCTCTCAGGGGAAACCGAGCACTTCATTAAACCCTAAAGTCACTGTGAGTGTGTGTGTGCACGCCTATGTCTGTTACCGTGGTTCTGTGTTGGATAAATAAGTGTATTAACCTTTCGCCTCTCTCACCATTGTTTCTGGGACATGCCCCACTGCTACTGAAACCCGTTCCCAGAGATTCAGGCAAGACGTTGAATCTGCGGACATCTTGTGTTAATTTCACATCTGGGTCTGAGCCAAAGTCGAGGGATAAGAGCCGGTCTTAACATCTTATGACTCTGTGTATCCAACTGCGGAGATGGACACTGATAAAGAGTGCTCTTCAATATTGTCATATGACTCAAACGGTCAATAACACACAAATCTTCTCATCTTTGAAGTTCTATCAAAGATTTGAAAAATGAGACTCTTGTAGTGTCTGAAATTAAATTCCGAGTCGTAATGTCAGCATTATCGTCATTCTGTGACGATAGTTTCATAGTTACCAATGTCCGAATAACGCAACTTCACAGCAAAGTTCTTGATTGGCCGGTTGTCTCTCACACACATGGGGCATTGTGTCCTGTAATGAAGCTGTGGCCTCAGGGTCTGTTGCTCCACAGCTCACAAGCCATAGACATGTAGGCTTAGACCTCAGCCCTGAAACACATTGCTGCAGTTTGAAATCTTTCTAATATGCGTAGTGTATATTTCCCATACATACAGCCGTATACAAACTATCTGAGACAGGCACCAATCATGGAAGGATGAAAAATAACAAAAAGTAAAAGAAAAATGTTGCTCCGGATGCATGGAGCTGCAAGAAAATATTGAAACCAGCTATGAACAGGAAATCCCTTGGCTTGCATCCTCACCCACATTTTGAAACGTATTTTGTGGTCAATTTTCCAGCAGAAGTCTCATGTTCGTGCCCAGGATGGTGCAAGAACGTTCAAAATTGCTTCTATTTTCAGACAAAATCCAATTTCCATGTGGTTTTCCCACTAACGTCTTTTTTACACAAATTCCATCGATGAGTCTCAAAAACCACAAACTTTCGCCTAAATGTGAAACTTCAGTGACTCACATCCTACCTCAGCACACGTCAGAACCCGTCATCTGATGTCTGCATATTCCGTGTGCAACGGCACTAATTATTTCCTTTGATCAAGGAATCTTTCCCATTCTCTTTCATTTCATTTCTGTGGTCATTAGCGGAGCATATTTT